TTAACGTGTGTCTCATCCTACTGTATATACAAAATATACATAACTTTTTTTTTTGGAACAAATATTTAGTTCATGTTATTCTGATCAAAATTTGACTTGTACTTTCAGAGAACTATTATTCATTCACTATCAAGTTACGTCCTTCATCTCACCTTGTAGCTAAAACTGATTCTGGGTTCAATGAACTCGTTGTCGATAATATTCGGCAGGCTTTTCACACGTTTCCAATAGTCTTCTTTCTCTTCTGGAGCCGCTCTGAAGTTTCTGAATAAATATTTAAAGAAACCCGATACTTTCTCGTTACTATATGGTCCGTCAGGACCAAAGAACTTCTCTGCATAATATTCAAAGCCCTCGAGTCTGGCGGTTAATTCGAAAACGTTCACCGATTCGCCAAGTAGGTCGAAAGTCAAGTTGAACGTGGCGGTTCTAGGTATATACGATTTGGGAGAAAAGATTAAATTTCCTTGATAATTGGCACCGAAATTGTATTCCTCCGAGAAGAAGGATCCGTCGTAATTTCGTGAAAATTTTCTCCTGTCTTTGTTAAATTTGTCGTCGAGATCGCGATCCGTTAGAAGACTTTGTATCTCGACTCTGGTTGGCGAAGCGGAATTATACACATTTGTCAAATGGCTCCAAACGAACGTCCCAACTGTAAGCAGAATTTCAATTTGAAAACGTGAAGGTCGATTCGATCTCAGAGGAATGCAAAGAGAATTCAAATTTAAATGGGATCTTTTTGAACGTGTTCTTTACTTGCAAATGTTTTGCAAATAAAGTTTCCGGTCTTTTTAGAAATAAAATTCTATAGTAAAACTCTATAATAAAAATTCTAGTATAATCTGTAAAGAAAAATGTTATCAATAAGTTATTTTTCAAGGTCTTTTCAAGGATTGCTCAAAAAAAGATCTCGTCCAAATCCGCAAGAGAGTAATTTGAGTAATATCTTGATTAATATCCTCAAAGTAAGGAAATTTAGTAAATACCTTGATTAATTTCTTCAGACTTTAACGTGTGCTTGATTGTTTTAACGACATTGTAATCGGGGCAACGCATCACTTGTAAATAAGACGCGATACGTAATTCCGTGTCCAAACTGTAATTCCGGTAGTAATTCAAAAAATAGAGATCTCGTGTTTTCTCGCAGGATGGCATTCTACGATGAGCGTCGATACTTGCTACACGAATCTCCATTGGTAAAAATCCTCCTACGTCATCTATGCATTCCTTTAATAATTTTGGCAGTCTTTTTGTTTCCAAACCCATATTCCCGACTGCTTTCAACACCTCTAACGTCTGCAAGGAATGAAGACTTAAGTAGAATCAATAACAGTTGGAGAATTTGCTCCAAAGTTTAATCCTTCAGTTTCTATAAACATCTACAGATGTCAGCTTTCAATTGTTAGTAATATAATTGTACAATATTATTGATAATTTACAATATAATTGATAGTTTATAGATTCTAACGTTGTAGTTAATTTAATATCTGTTTGAATTCGTAGCACTGTAAAGTCTTTGATTTCATTCATTTTTCGATTGCTTTTTTTTTTTTTACTACAATAAAAATAAGAATATTTTTACATACGGACTGTACGTTAAGAGTATTCAGACTAGGATTATTAAATGTAATTTTATTAGTTACTATATTATTATTATAAATTAAATATCATCTACATAAAGTGCTCAATCTCTGTACGATACTTGTGAGTAATAGTGTATTTTAATAAACTCTTGAAACTTGTTGTTTCGTACGATAGATATAAAAATGTTCAAATTTCTTCATCTAAATTTCTCGCGTGAAAATTGCAGTGTTAAATAAATAAAGGAAAAGAGTATTTCGAACTTTAGTATATACCTCTTTCACTGTAGAAAGTGAATGCGTTCGAGGTGCACATCCCTTTTCGATTTTCTGCTCCAGGTATGAAAGGAATCGCGTCACCTCTTCGATGTTGGTGCAATCTACATCATTAGTAGAACAGAAACCATAGATCGTCGTGGAATAGCTCAGGATGAACTGTGTATCCGGAATGTGGTGATGAAAATCGAGAAGAGGCGACAAAGCTCTGATTGTATCCTGATTTGGTCGAGGAACTAACGCGAAAGCGATAACCCATTTGTCGATCGTCGCATGATCGACGTATCGTTTTATTATTAGATCTTTCATTACATTTAAGGCTGCATTGCTGCCAATGAATGGCAATGCGTCGATTATGTGCTTCCTACGGAATAATTAATAAAAAAATAATATTAATATAATACAAAGAAAATATAATAAAATAATATAAAAAAATAATTCGAAAAATGTTTAGATCGCGTGCGGATATTATTTTGCCAAAAAAATAACAATATTATATTATTTTGAAAAACTTGACGACCAACCGAATGAAATTTGATAGATATCATGCATATATTGTCGAACAATGAAAAATAAGTATTTGAATTGTTTGTAGAAACTTTTTGTAAATATATGACATATGTTAGAAATTTAGAACTACAATGAGTCACGACCGTCGTGATTGTACCAGTAAAATTTAAAACTCAGATTTCACACTTCAATCCATCATTTCTCTGCTGTGATACATATCAGATCTTAATCGACCATCAGATTTTCTTTTAACGTTACTCACTTGCCAGTTTTGCAAATACCGTGGGCTCTGACAAATAATTGCGACAAGGACGAATAGTCGAGAAGCCGCGCCGACTGAATAAACGCAGTGAACGTCTCGGAAAATCGTTGCTGCAACTCATCCACGTTCGTTCCTAGTCTACACATTGTTTTCAGCAAATCTCTGGCACTCCTCAACTCGCCGTGAACGGTCTTCGGTGTTTTCGAGTAATCGTATAACAAATTCGTTCTTTTCGTGCGATTCGATCCTCGTCCATGTTTATCCTTTTCATTCTTCCCCTCTCCTTGTTCGTCTTCCTCTTGGCTAGCTGCATAATCGTCGCTCTGTTCATACTCGTCGCTGTAACTGTAATCGTTTCTGGACTCTTTGATCAATTGAAGTTTAATCGTCGATTCGGTTCTTGCGCCCGTGTTACCAGTCGACAACGGTACCAACAGATGAAACTCGTTGCATACAATCTTCTCGTAGACGTTGTGATCGATCGTTAATTCGCAATCGCTTCGGGATTCAAGAAGTGGGTGGCGAGATCCGCGGCCACCCGATCGTGGACTATTGTAAAAGTTCGAACGAATGACAGAGAAATGTTTCGCTCCGTGCAAACAGTCCGACAGATTTTTCGTTTTCTTCACGATCAGACTGGTCTGTCTGACTTCGTGGAAACGATAACTCGTCTCGCAGATGCCATTCACGTCCAACTCATTGGCGCGGTAATCCACGTCGAATCTGTGCATGGTGTTTTGCAGGATGGATAGCACGCCTCTTTTCAGATTCAAGGCCCAGACCGGGTCACGTTTGTCCGGGCAGAGTTCTTCAATCCGTCCATCATCGAAAGCAAACCTTAATGGGAAACGTTCCAAATTCACTTTGAACTCCGCGCCGGCACGATCGGGGAATTCCGGATTGTATTTCCGAGGATCGTGACTTAGGCTGGCGTTCTCGAACTTCAAGCTACCCTCGCAAGGGCTGTTGAAACGAACCACCAAGTCCGCATCCAATCGTAGCGTGGACTCGTTTCCAAGGAAATCCGGTAACGATAACGACGACGACACATTGCCCAGATTCGTGCTCACGTCTACCGAGTATCTGTACCAGTACGACACGTTCTTTTCGTATTTGAATTTCTTGTCCGCTCTCACTGTGAACCGTCGACCAACAACAGTTATTTATTATTTTTTTAATTTTTCTCTCTCTTCTACGGAATTATAAAAATTCTTAAATTCTCATTTTATATAATTTACCTTTGCATTTCGTTCGGCCGCACAGCGTAGAATCTTTGACGACTTCTGCAACGAGAGTTCATGATTAAGTTATTAGCTCCAAGACTACGTTCCATTCTCAGAAATGCGTTCGTCGCGCTTTACCGATAACCGGATACGCGCCGATACCCACGAATCGAGTATAAATTCATGGAAAGAATAGTCAAACAATACCGGTCGATGAAAAAAGAAAGAAATCGATAAATCGTCCTATAAACGAATTGAATTAAAAAAAAAAAAAACTTACCCGACTTCACCGAGGCGAAAACAAGGAAAATCACAAAGAGAAGAAAAATAACGACACGTCCCCGTGTCTGTCGACGATTCCAAATCATTTTGACTCTTCGTTATCCGATCACTCGTCTATCGGTACGCTTGCTCACTTCATCCCCCTTGAGTTCGTTTGTAGTCTTCTCGCAGCTTCGAGAACGGACGGAGTTCACGCGTGGTTCAGCACACTTTTGACCGGAACACGGTATCTAATGCTCGAACCCTCCTGCAACATTTCGATCTCGTTATATCTCTCCTTCTTTCCCTGCCCCCTCATCTTTGTCCATCGCTCCTTGAACTTTGATTTCAGAAGAATAATTTCAAGAAGAATTCGATCGATGATCGATAGATCCCAAACACTGAGCAAACAAAGATGATAATGAAACTTTCGTACCGTGCGGGAGATGATGGGAAAAATTCTGCTCGAACGTCAAGAGATCACTCGATCGAGCAGAATAATCGAACTAAGAACGGGATTGGGGTGCAAAACAGGCCGCAACCGACGCGCTTGATAGGAAACACGGCTGAACGATAGATCGGTTAAGTAAGTGTTTCCTGCCCCGGCTATGTCCGCTGACCAAATGGACAACGGCACCGACTCAACTGCGCTGTCCCTCTTTTCAGAGGGGAGAGGGTCAGGACCAAAGGTCTTCTTGCTTTTATTATTTACTAGAGGTTACGGGTCAAAACTAGATAAGATAACAACGAAACAGATCTCTCCCAGGCATCTAAAATTCTTGCGAACATTTATTACTCTCAACAATATTATTCCGTATTATTGCGAATTCGTTATCTACGAAATGAACGAGTATGTATGACTGTATCGTTTGTCTGTATATTCTATATTTTATTTTATTCCATTTTATTCTATTTCATTCAACATCCTTAGCAATGCAACAAGTGTATATATGTTCCCAGTTTCAGAGAAGTGGATTTGTTTCCTTTCAATCGTCTCCGTGTTACGAAATCATCAATCGACTCATTGAAGCCTAAATTAAACATCACAAAGTAAACAAAGAACAAATGTGTAAATCATACCCGCTAAGTGAAGCTAGCACGCCTTCGAACATTGTATTTTCGAATGTGCATATTTATTGCGAAACGGAAGTGCCTAAAGCAATCGAATATAATCGTTGAATGAAATTGAAAGTTACGAGCCATTCGAGATATCAGTCTGCAAGGTCGCAAAAGGGCACGATAAGGGAACGATAAACAAACATCTTTGCATAGTAAGACAAATCTCCAATTCCTCGAAACTTTCAACTTCCGTGCTTTTCTTTAAACCGGACGACGTCGGATGACGTCAATGCATACGGAAAATGTCGGAAACGAACGAACAGAGGCGGAAACGAACGAGGATGTACGAACAGTGTCAATCGAGCAACGTTCAGGTATCTAATCTTGTGCCTCGTGTTGTTCCTACGCAGACGTTGCATTGTGCTTGATGTACTGTCGAAATATCTGTTCGAATTCGTTATTCGCGTTTTAGCAGCGTATACTTTGTTCGCAGATACAGTTTCAACGTATTTTTCAAGAAATCATGGAAAACAATTGAGACAGGAAAGCGTGACTATCAACGTTGAGTTTTGAAACTAAATTGTCAAGCGTAATTGCATGTTGATTTAAGTTAAATGTACAAGAGTGTAAACAGACTGTTTCATGACGAGTTAAGCCAATCGTAGGTTAGTTGCCGAGTGTCTTTTGAACGGGATGTACGTAACACCACGGAAAGAGGTGCCCTCCCTCTTGTAGTGACACTTGGGTGAAATCTTTTTGTGCCCGCGCGGTATCGTTCGATCGGTGATTGGACGTTGGAAAATGCGACAACGACGCAACGACGAATCACGGCGAGGTATCTTCTACGCAGTAGGATGAAAGCAACGGTGTGTACTAAACGTTTGAAGAACGTCGCGCGAGGGATGTGAAAAGTGTTTTTTTCACAACCTGTGACTAACTGGCCCGTTTTTTTTCCCTCCCCGTCTCGTTACGTCTCGTCGGATGCGTCGGGCGCTCAGCTGTGGCACGGGTATGCGACGGCGGAAGATGTTTTGGTAGTAGAGAGATTCCGTGCACGAGATTTCCCAACCGAGACACGAGCTGTCATCCGTTCGAAGGCCGAGACACGGGCTTCGTTACGTGCATCGAGGCGGCGAAACAAGGGACTTATGATGGGGACAGGCCTCGAAATATCCCACGTCAAAGCAATCGCGAACGTTTAATCGCGACGTTGGGATTCAAAAGGAAAAAAAAGACCACGCTGCCCGAGAAACGCAGAGTCAGAGCCGACGTTCCACCAAAATGGGAAATTGTTTGAAACGCGCTGGAAGCGGTCAACAGGACAATACCACTTTGCTGAGTAACAATTCTGATCCTCCTACCTTGACTAGCGGTTCTTTGCAAGAAGGCCTTGGACCTCCGATACCTAACAACGTAATTCTTATTTCTTATTATGCTTCGATTAGTCGCAATATCGTCGCCTGTTCCTCTGTCTGTATTGTTCGCGACTATCTATTTGTTCGATTTCTTTGATTTCTATTTTTAACGGCGCGAATATCTCTCGTAAAAAGATGCAATTTAGATGTACAGACAAGTAATAATAACGTCTGAATTTTTGTCACGTAAAGTAATGTCAAACTGAGACAAATTTTTGTTGCTCGAACAGTTAATAACACCTATTGAGATGATATAAATATCTATTTACTGTATTCAACAAAACTTGATTCTATAGGAGGCAGTTACCTTTTCGTACGCGCCAGTTTTCACAAGGGAACTTCACCTTCAACAAATTGGCATCGGTGTTAATCTAGGACCAGGTACCGAAGAAGAACAACAAGTTAGAATAGCAAAACGCATTGGACTTATTCAACATTTGCCTATGAGAGAGTACGACGGAACTAAGAAAGGAGAATGCGTGATATGTATGATGGAGCTCCAAGTGGGTGAAGAAGTGCGTTATTTACCCTGTATGCACACTTATCATGCTGTATGTATCGACGATTGGTTGCTGCGTTCCTTGACATGTCCATCGTGCATGGAGCCAGTAGATGCAGCATTGATTAGTTCTTATCATCCAACCACTTAACACCATGGAGGTGGAAAATGGAATAGCTAATCGGTAATCAAACAATATTATTGTGCTGAACAGAGCAATTGAAAAAACCCATTAATTTTATTACATATAATGGCTTCTAACTAGCAAAGGGGCCTTTTCTTGTTAATGGTCGATTGTATTTGCCATTGTATTCAACATACCTGCTCGCATGCTAAATAATAATAATACTTGTATTATAAAGAGTTACAAATGTCTTCTACATAGGTCATTCCCTCTTACAGGGTAATGTTCTGCACGTGGATCGAAAAGAAGTAAAGTGTATTTACGATCAAAAAGTAATCGCCATAGTTGTTAATTTTCTGCTAAATCTAACGTAGCTTTTTTTTCTATGGCTGCAAAAGATCTCTCTATTTTACGCACGAGTAAATGGAGCAATCGAAAGACATAAGATCTTGCTGAAAATATTTGAGTTGAACGAAGAGTAGCATCTATTTGACTTTGATGATTCGGTCAAGTAGTCATAGACAATTGTATGCATTGTGAATATCATAAGTAATATTATGTACCAGAAAAAAATATCGTATGTATATTTTCAAACATATTTACGATGGTTTCATATTTCCAAATACTGAAAACCTATTTTCGGAACGTATTTTGTGGCATATAAAATTAATCTTATTATTTTTAAATATAACGTCTCTTACTTTGATGTGACCTGGTCTTAGGATGTGAATAATATCTCTGATGAAAATAGTACATATTGTAACTGGAAAAATTGTAAAGCAAAGGTATTCTTTGCTTCTTATCTGTATTTCGAATTATTTTACATAAAAAAAACGAGCTGTTTGGATTTTTTGTTTACAGTACTATCCACTGGATATCATTCAGTATGTTCTTATATGGACAGTTATATTACATTCAAATTTTTAAAAGCTTATGTTAATTAGGCTCTGTTGGCAAAATTTTTATACGACATAGCGAGCATTATACATATTACCATATTGGTGCTTTTGTCATAAGCAGTGACAATGCAATTATCAACGTCTCGTTCAATTAATTAAACACGTTTTATTTTAACATTTTATCACTGACCTTCATTGCTGTCAGTGATCATACATTGTAGTAGATACTTACGCATAAGAAATTCAGTCTTTATTTTTATAAAAAAATGTTCATAAAGGATGTACATTTTGGGACTTTGTTAAATATTATTATAAAATTCAAAATACAATTTCAACTATAAATGGAAGAACGTAGTTTATATAAACTACTTTAAACTTGATCTATTCCAGTTCGATATAATCGTAACTTGAGCAAAAGGGTTGCATGATTATTTAATTTAGATTCCCACGTGGGCTTAAAGTCCATAAATAAAATTTTCGTGATGAAATAAAAAAAAAAAACTGCAACAGTTATGATAGTTTTTTCGATGCATAATGTTAAAGATTCGGTCGATTTCATATAAGAAGTATAAATGTATATATTCTTTTAAGAGTACACATATGCGTATATATACATACATTTCCTACTTGGACAAAAATATTTTAATGTTTCATGGAAGCTTCATGTGTAATGTTAATGATTTGTTTGGGAGAAAAGTAAGTGATGCTGTGAAATAGTGATTTATTGACAAGATATAAATATACAGATAGAGATTGAGTAATAATGATAATGATAATACAAATATAAATATTTAGTAACAACCGATGACTTTTTTAACAATACCTGTCCTTATTTCAAACGGATATTCTATTTTCATAATAAATCTGGAGTTCATTCCAAGAGATTCGGCTAAAATTATAGGGAACAAAAAGCTAATACCAAAGATTGATCTATATTTATGCTGAAAATAAATTAATTCTTATATTTCATGTGGTATTTTACTATTAATTGTTTAATTGTTTCATTTTGACGACGCTAGAGGTTTCAAATATTTTAAACGTGTCTCATATGTACACAGACTGTTAATAATTTGTTTTTATAACATTTGCATGCCATTCGTACTTTTTTATCAAAAAATTCAAAAGTACATTCGAAAGTTTATTTTCAATACTGTTTCTCGGTATATGTGTGTACTTGCTATTGAACGTGGAATACGTTACTAGCTAGTGATTAAATTTCTAGTGACACAAAAGTTGGAACGTGTAGAGAGACGCAAAGAAAGAGAAAGAGAATGGCATCGCGCAATCAGTGAGGGAGTCTCGGCATCGGTCTGTGGGCGTCATCATGGTGTGTGGGCTGAAGCGTTTTTGAGAGAGACGAGTTTGTTTTCAATCGATGGGACGCAGGCATTTTTATTTTTACGGTAATGCTCTCGCAAGGGGTGTCGTCGTTGTTCCGCGGACCGCTATGGGGAAAATCGTCGGCGCGCGATGTACAGTTACGAAATAAATTTTAAGCAGAACGATACGACGGTGCGTACGATGTCGAGTACGGGACAAGTTTCTCTTGAACCTCGACTTGCGCGGAGATACAAATGGATGACTGTTGCATTATCGGTGTTGCTCGCAGCCTCACCAAACTTTACGAAAGCCGACGGGATAACGTACGATATCGCGAAGGATAATCAGTGTCCCGTCGAATGCTCGTGCCTTGGGAATGTGGTTGACTGCAGTAGCTTGCAATTGATCGGGGCACCCAGCGAACTACCACCATGGACAGAGATCTTGTAAGTAAATAATCGCTCGTTATTCTATCAGGGACAACAGTGCATCGTCACGGGACGCCGTTTTACGTTTTGCAGATCGTTCCACTCGATTCATCTTCGAAAATTCACCGCCGCGAAATTCATCTCAATATTGTTGATTATCATTTGAAAAATCATACAAATTCATTTTTTTTTTATTTTTTCTTAATAGCAATCATATAACGTGTTACATTTATACAGTTATCATTAAGATTTACAGTGAAAGCTACACATGTGTATACGCAGTGTAATATGATCTAGCCAGATAAGATAGTGTATCATGAATTTGTAACAAAAATATTAATGCTTACGCTAGTAAGGTTGGTAAGTAAGGTATTTCTTTTGAATTAAATGAGAATAAACACTTTTTATCGTGTTATCCTATGAATGTCCTGTTTTTGTAGATATTTTTATTCATTCATTGTTTTTATATATATATTACATATATACTATTATGGTATTTACATACCATTTCCTATATGTTGTATCCTTTAGATTCTTGTTATTAACTTACATATGATAAATAATTTTGTAGAACTATTTCCTCAGTTTCATTTAGAAGATTCCGTTTAGTTTATTAAATAAGTTAAAGATATATGGTATTAAAATCATACGGTTGTTGTACTAATAATAAGAAGAACACTTGTTAAACAGTTAGAGCAGTCAACATAGACTTTGTACTTAAATAAACTGAAATAGTACAGGCAAGATTTCATTCCAAAAATGGAAAGACTTCATGTTGAAAACAGGTTTTCATTTCCAAATATGTTAGCAAGGATTTTATTTACTGTGTGCATTGACGTGTAAAGTCAAAGAGATCAAGATTGAAATATACAAATCCTTATCTTTAATTGTTTTAAGACCACTTATTATCTATCATAGGCAATTGTGTATTATAGATATGTATATAGATATTATGAAGAACTAAAGATAAATATATTATGAAATATTTTTTTATTAAAAGTAACAAAAAAAAGAAACAAAAGAATGAAAATAACGCCAAGAATATTATTTTTTTTTTGCAGAGAGTTGAGAGAAAACAACATTGCTAGCTTAGAACCTGATGTATTATTACATTTAACTAAATTAAAGGAACTGTGAGTATCCTTCACATATTAATACATATAATTAATATTATTAATACATATAAAACATTCCACTAATAATTAACAAATATTTTTAACAAAACTGCTTTAATGTCTATATGCTAATATTTGTCTGACAATCATTTAAGGGACCTTAGTGCCAACAAGCTTGGAGATAATTTTACAATTGTTCTATCAGAAGATGCACATTTACAAGGGCTTAAAATAAATAAAAATCAATTAACAGAAGTGCCAGATATGTTCTTTGTCAAAAATATAACGCACCTTGCGTTGTAAGTATATTGTTTATATCACTGAATGTTACAAACGTCTCAATTTTTGCAATATAAAAACAAATATTTTGATTTATAGGGCTCATAATTCAATTACCGATATAAATGGGACTGCTTTACTCATGATGCAAAGACTTCAAAATTTGGACATTAGTGGGAATAAAATAAGCGTTATTCGAAATGGGTCCTTTTTTGCACCCAATTGCCTTACACATTTGTATGTAACTATTTATTTATGCAATTTACATGTTGTCGTCTTGTAACAATAATCTCGCAACGCGAGAACTTTCGTTTTTCTACTTTTCTTTTTTCATTACAGAAACTTAAACATGAATCAAATAAGGATAATTGAAAATGGAAGTTTAGATAATCTAACATGCTTGGAAGAATTACGTTTGAATAAAAATCATTTGACTCAGCTGAAAGATCTTTTTACGAATTTGAAAAAATTGCGTATATTGTAAGCAATCTCGTTTCGTATGGTTTTTTTTAGCACTCGTTGGCGCTTGTGATTGCAATAATAACAAAAATACGATATTCCTTTTACAGAGAAATAAATAGGAACGAATTGCAAATAATTCAAGGCCTTAGCCTTACAGGCTTAAAAAATCTGAAAGAATTGCGTTTAAAGAGAAATAAAATTGAAACGTTACATGATGGTGCCTTCTGGCCACTCGAAAATTTAACGATTCTACAACTTGACTTTAACTTGTTGACCACAGTGAGAAAAGGTGGTCTTTTTGGCTTAGAGCATTTACAAAAGTTAACATTATCACACAATCGTATACACACCATTGAAATGCAAGCATGGGACAGATGCAAAGAGATTGTAGAGTTGTCAGTAACATTTTCATCCTACGGTATACATATAATAATAATTGGATTAAGAAATTCGATTATAAATAAGAATTTGCTTGCAGAGATTTATCACACAACGAAATGACGAGTATTGAAAGAGATACTTTCGAATTTCTGGAAAAACTGGAAAAACTCAAACTGGACCACAATCAAATCATTTATATTTCGGATGGTGCATTTTCTTCTACTCCTAATTTGCAAATATTGTGCGTATAATATAATATAACATAATACAATACATATTGTAATGATATGAAAATTTATGGAATTTCCATAAGTTCTTCATCTAAGTATGTATCTTCTTATTAAAGGGAACTGAACTTTAATAAAATTTCATACATGGTGGAAGATATTAACAGTGCCTTCAGTTCACTTGGACAATTATGGAAACTAGGGTTAGCATACAATAAAATAAAGTCGGTAAACAAGAATGTCTTTACTGGATTAAGTAGTGTAACTGAACTCGATTTAAGTGGGAACAATGTAACGAGTATCCAAGAAAATGCATTCATTTCAATGACTAGTCTAACGAGATTGAGAATGAATACAAGTACGTACGAATGTAAAATTTTGTATTATGACTTAAATGAAAACGATTACTCGAAAATATTTGCATCATCTTTTTTTCTTGTGTATTTAGAAGCTTTAGTTTGTGACTGTGGCTTACAATGGTTAAGTATGTGGTTACGTGAACACAGCTACAGTGACACGGAAGTTTATTGCGGGTTTCCACATTGGCTACAAGGAATGTCGTTGATTCAACTTCATCATAAAAATTTTACATGTGGTTAGTACGACTCTTTAAACTAGAACTCAAACTTTACCATAGATTAATTACTAATAAGATTTTGTACGAATATGACGATTAGACGAATATCCAAAACCAAGGATTACCGAAGAACCTAAAAGTCAAATGGGCGTTAAAGGCAATAACGTGACGTTAGTTTGTCGAGCAACGAGTACTGCCAGTGCGCCATTACATTTTACCTGGAAGCATGGTAACGTTGAAATGAATGACGCCAGTCTGCAAATAAATACCTCTGTAGAGAACGGTGTAACAGTGGCATCTTCTATTTTACATCTTATTAATGTTACTCATGAAAATGCTGGAAAATATCAGTGTATGGTGTCCAACACTTATGGGACGACATATTCTACTAAAGCAAAACTAAACATTATAAGTGAGTTTTTGTCAAGCTTTAATTACAATGTGTTAGCAACGTTACTACTAATATAAGTTTTCTCTTCGTTACAGTTTATCCGTCTTTTTCAAAAATTCCACACGACATACGTATAGCCGCTGGCAACACTGCTCGACTCGAGTGTTCGGCAGAAGGGCAACCATCGCCGCAAATAGCGTGGCAAAAAGATGGCGGTAACGACTTCCCAGCAGCAAGAGAAAGACGAATGCACATGATGCCTACTGACGATGTACTGTTCATCGTCGATGTGAAAACTGCCGATAGCGGTGTTTACTCGTGCACTGCGCAAAATCTTGCCGGCAAAATCATTGCGAATGCTACTCTTACGATACTGGGTAAATATCATGCGCCTTTACACGATGCAATTGCAAGCTGATTAGCATGAAATCAATGATCACACATGGTGATAAATTTTTCTATTTTCTTCCGAAAGAAACACCGTCATTCGTAAAACCAATGGAAAATAAACAAGTGACGGTTGGTGGTTCGATTGTATTGGAGTGCATGGCAAGTGGTATGCCCAGACCGAAACTATCCTGGCGCAAGAACGGAGATCCTCTGCAAGCGACTGAACGGCATTTCTTTACGGCCGAAGATCAGTTGCTGATAATTGTCGATACTAAAATTAGCGACGCCGGTAGCTATGAGTGCGAAATGAGCAATTCATTGGGTAGTGTCGTTGGTGCGTCCCACCTTACAGTGAAACCAGGTAAGAAGTTTCTAGCGTGTTATGTTAGATCTTTTCCTCCCTTTTTGTTTTCTCAAATCTAAAATAAAATGTATGCAGAAATACTGCGTGTTGCAGCTCCTAGTCCCAACGAGGACGACATATTAGGTTTGATAATAATCACTGTTGTATGCTGCGCTGTTGGCACGTCCATAGTATGGGTGGTTATAATTTATCAAACCAGAAAGCGATTGAACGTTGTTGCGCAGACCACAAATTCACAACCGTCGTCAACTATAGCAGCTACAGTAGCAGACACACAGACACACATATATTTGGAAACGAGTTCTCAGCATAGTAAAGACAGCGGTACAGGGGACAGTACCAATCCTAGTAGCGATCAATTACAATTATGTTTACCCGGTACGTAAATATTTTTCTCTTCTGGTTTTTCTGTAAATTCTCTTTTTATTCTAAAATTTGTTTCTGTTTTCTATTTTCAGAGGAGATCGTTACGTGTTCAGTGAACAACGAGGAGGAGACGAATGCAGTGATTGGGGCACCATTGCTACGGTACACGAACCACGAACGACATATTCGGGAGAATAAAGACTGCGCTGTCTAAAGAAATGGAAATTTAAAGTAATGCTTCTCTTATGATCGTTTTATCGTGGTCCGTGCACGAACGTTTTCCTTCACTGTGTGCATGAGAACAATTGAAAAATCGTGCGCGATCAAACGTTGTTTGAACCATTTGACAACAAATTACGGTACAGCAATTTGTTAATTTGTGACTCATGAACATTAATTAAGTCGTGATGTGTACGCGATAGATGTGCGATGAAAGTACAAGCGACAATCGGTCATTGTCGTATTTATTACAAAAAACATTTGTTAAAGCAGCGATACGTAAACTAGAAAGTACTAATGATTTGTAAATATTTAACGTAAGAACTCGTAATTGGTGTGTAAGAACTCATCGAGGAAAGAGTAAAGTAACACGTAAATACTTTGTGACACCGGGAATTACCATAACCCGCAAAAGCCACTTATATTATAGATCAGTCTTTTGTGATAGATATTTATTTTTAGGATTACTTAATTACTATTAGGCAACGTTTATATTTATAATGTCCCATGACGTAAGTTTGCCTCGTTCTGCGGAAAGCAAGGGGGGGAGGGGGGAAATAGGAAAAAAGAAAAAATCAGAATGAGAAAGGGAAACATATACGTACACAAGTCCACGCACACGTATTTTACATATGCAACAAAATGTTAATTGTGCGAGCGGGTGTGTATATATATATATATAAGTATATACATGGGTGTGTGTATGTGTACAATTGTTGCGCACCAAAGTGCTGATGTAGACACTTGATAATTTGTCTTCCTCTTTATTTCTTATTTATAGTTAATCGCTATGTTACATCTAATAATTTAATCGGCTGATAACGATTGCTCATCACCAGATAGAGATATCAGTACCAATTTTCAAGTATCTGTCTGTGTATTATTATCGCTTGAGGTCAATGATTTCCCTTTAGTATTTAATTTACTAAAAACTTGTAGCGTCCATTCATGTGCGAAGAATAGCGTATTAGTATGGAGTGAGTTTGGTTGATTCGCAAGTGTCGTTTTAATCGAGAAAGAATTAATTACGAAGAAACATTTTTTTTTTATTTTTAAATCAATACTTTGGTTCTTGTGCATTTCGTTAGAAAATTTAAACATAAGTAGTGTGGTAATTAGCGGCGAAACGACGGTGTTATTTTGTAGAGAAACTCCAGTGGATTTAATCTTTTTTCCTTTTCTTAAAAGTTCGAGTTAATTTGTGATATTCTGCATGAGAACGATTTGAAATTATATTGAACAGGGGCAAAGATGCAAACCTTTGGCAAGAGTTAGACGCTTGGAAAACATAATTGTATATATATTTCATTGTTTCTGTATCGCGGCTCAAGCGTATATCTTTCACAATCGCTTATATTTTTTTTAAATCTTGCATTTCGAAGAAACGAAAGGGAAAAAAGTTTGAAAATGTCATTTACAATACTATGCTGCATTGTAACGTATCTACGCGCGTTCGTTTTCGTTATCAACTCGCTTCTTTCGTTCTGCTGAAATGGATTTTTTTTTCAAAAGAAATATTCGGTCGTTTTCTCTCGTTTCGCAAGAAAATGAAAATTCGATATATATATATATATATCTCGTCGCCTTTGAATTCATGGACACGATTGCGAATTTAACATTGCGTCCAGCAGGCAAGCATGCGAACTTACCCCGTGACAAGTATTAAAACCGTATTTTGCCAATAAAGAAGAGAATCGGTCGCGAAAGAAGAACGTCGAGTGACTCGTGCCTGTGTGTGATACACCTGATATAGGTGGTCCTTGTTTAATTCAGTATTTTTCCTTGTTGTTACGTGGTATATTATAAACAAATACAAGTAATCTGATGAGAATGTAGTTATATATAGTTATAGTTGTGTAGTCGGCGTGTTCCACCCATCCATCATCGTTCTTCACAAGAGACACAAAATAATAATCTCCGTCCGTCATCTCTCTTTATTTTCAACATTTCGTTCCTTTCTCTTTTCAACTTTATTTACCAAACGAGCATACTCTGTTAAAATATACAATTGCTGATACATGTACGCGTATACAGGGAGAAAGAAAGAGCACAGGAGACGGGTTCGACGGAATCTTTTTTTTTTAGAAACTTTGAAACGATACGCCAGCGTATCATAGACACACACACGCACACACACATACACCTCTCGTTTTTTTCTTTCTTTCTTTCTTTCCATACTTTCTTCCTTTTTATTCTTTGCTTTCAACACCTGTATCTGCGTATCTGTGCGAATGTACATTTATTTAGCGCGATATTCGATCTCGATAATTCCCCGGTTTACGCTACATTGTCGATCAGGGGAAACACGCATCACAAAACAAGCACATTGTAATACATTATTATTCACACGAGATCCTGCACGCCTCTAACAGTAAGAATTAAAAAATACTCGATTCGCGTTCAAAATGATTTTTGATTATCAATCCGACGGGAGTTGATATCAACCATTCATGAGAACAATTCGTACGATCTATATAGGAACAACAGATTCCTCTCGATGATTTTATCTTATACTCGCGACTCGGATCGTTTCGAAAAAGAGAAAATGTAAGGGGCACGAGCGAGGTCCGATTCGCGTCTTGAAAAAAAAAAAAAAAAAAA